ATAATAATCTAACACAGCTCCTCACTCCTGGCTGTCAAAAACGGCTGTGAAACATAATACTAGCAAGAACAACATACCTTTCGGGAAGCTGCTAAAAGTTTTGAATACTGTCTAAAAGGCAAAATATTTTAACTTGAAAAATTCAGCTATTATAATACACTAACAAACATTTCACTTTTACATTAATCTATCTAATATCCAGTATTTTTACGCTCAGAAAATTACCATTCGTTTCTCAACCAATAACTCATAGAAAAAATATCACTATTGACGCCATCACGCAGTGTTGCCAAAAATATACACAAATGGCTAATAAATTAAATAATTGTAATTTATATGTGCTTTATTCTCCGATTTTTAAATTTGTTTCAAGAATTCCTTTATAATAAGAATAGTTTAGTACTTTGAAATCATTATCGAAGCTTGTAAAATGCATCTTAAAATTATTCTCGAAAATCTTCTGCAATAAATTTAAACCATGTTCTACAGAAAAATTTGAATAATTTTGTTATTTAACACATGTTATGTATTACTTAATTTAAATGCTACTTTTAATCTTACAGTAAGTTCGCGGTGTAAAAGTTAATTAAAAAGGTTTTCAAACTTAAATTTTGCAATAAACTGATATTTAATTTGATCTAAAATGTTTACTCAGGACTATTGATATTTATTATTATTCATTTAATATATACTTTTAAAATACTAGTTTGATACCATGAATAAAATATAAAAGTCGCGTATGATGGTTTAAACCTGTTTTTCTTACACAGTCTCAAAAATCAATTTGAATCTTCATATTATGTGATAAGAAACACATATTTAATTAAAAATTATCTTTCGATAACACAATTTTAACCTGCCTCCAATGAAAGCAATAACTAAGAAACTAGCTAATGGAAATTTATAATGTATATGCTGTTTAAAAATGAATGTAGATATCCAAAGGTTTTCGATATATGCTTACAGCAAATAAACGGTAATAAACGTGAGATTATCCTCAAGCTATCATAATAAGTAAAATAATTTAGATGATTTAGATATAATTTAAAAATAAAGAATAAAATATTTGAAGTACGGACATAAATTTCAAATTATGAACATAGAAAAATCAGACATAAATACAAATATTTAAATCAAGTGATTATATGAAAAACATAACATTTGGATTTTCTTTCCGTTAAATGTATTCACTCACGATTAAGTTTTGACAGCATTATTACAATGAAACATAAATAACAGGTGATTAGCCATAACTGTTTCTTAAAAATGTGTGAAGAGGCTACATGTTATCAAATTAAACACTTCAGTGGAAATACAAAGGTAATTTACTAAAAAGGTGCAATTTTAGTCAATAAAATACAATAGACTCCCGATTAACCGAGATAATACTGGGAACGGCGTCCACGGTTAACTTGAAATCACAGTTCATCCTACAGTTACAAAATGCATAAAAGCAATTCTTAAATACTATAATATCATATGCAGGCAATGTTGTTATTTCAATCCATTTTCTTCTTCTCTCTGCATTTCCATTAGGAATTTTGCTTTATTTTAACGGTTTATGATAGTTCCTTTTTTCATCGTTCCACACTTAACAAAATTAAGCTTTTTCTAGACAAAGCTCGGATAATTCGCAATCCGATTAATTCACCCACGGTTAATCGAGAGCTAACTGTAATTTTCTCCTGAGAGCTAGTACATGAATAGAAGATGGCAACACACGTGCAAAAATTCATATCTTAGTCAAGCAACTGGACTAAGCGTGAATGTCCAAATAAACGGACATCGCTAAATGATTATAAATAACTAGACATTCAGAAACAGATCTATAATAATAATAAACTATTATATTGAGCTTGTTTACAGTTATCACATACTCATGCACGCATTATCCTAATACTGTTTAGATAAAGCATCTGAAAAGTGCATTAGTTAGCGCACAGGATTTCATCTATAAAAATAACATTCTATAATGTTCAGACCATAGAATACAAAGTACTCTACTAAGTATTATAGACGATGAGCATTTATCTCTGAAAGTTTTCATTTGGCATTTGGATACATATTTGTTTCAAGTTTATGATGACTCACCTCGCTTAGAAAACAAGTGTCGTTTTTGCGTAATAACAATCATATCTTTGCAAAATAGTTGCACATTTCATTCTCAAAAAATGTTTCAAATCAGAATATACAATAATCCATTTCGTAGAAGTAAACATATATAATGCCCATATATATCACGTAAGTGATATCACAATGCTTTGCTCGTAAGTGGAACAAAGTTTTCATTTAAAAAGATTTACAATACCCATATACAAAATGCATGTGATATCACAAACAAATTACATCAGTGTCTGTTACATTTGTTGGGAATGATGGAAATATGAATGAGAGAAAGAGTGCTTAAGTGATGAAAACTTGTAACGTTAAGTAATAAATAATAAAACTTTCTCCATCTTCTTTCATCAAAATACTAACTATATAAGCTTTTTTAACCCTAATCATTGGCAAGAGTACTTTTGCTGGCTTTTATTATTACAATTTCAAATCTCAAGGACAAATTTTATATTTTCGTACTAATCACACTAGATTTCTTTCAAATCAAACAACCTTTCTCTTTTTCACTTATAGCGTAAGTGAATTAGGAATGTGCGCATTATTTACTGTGCGTGTTTATGTGTATGAATAATAATATGCATTATTCATAAAAAAGGAGGAAGGAAGGAATAAATCATCATTAATTATTCAAATATTTTCACAGATGTAGTTGTAAATAAATTTTGAAGTAACCTTTAATCAATGAATGGAATTGGAAAATGTTGATTATTCAGTTATCGATTTCTTTTATGTCGAGAAAAAGATTTGGAGCCCGAAATTTATTGAATTATTTTAAAAAACATATTTAAAACTGCTTTTAAAGAACAATAGAAATAATTTTATGAATATGTAAGTTTTTATTAGTAAATTTTGAAACATATGTATAACCAAACAAATTGCTAAAATTCGAGGCTCTCAATCTTTTAAAATTTTATAAAAATGCAAAACGTTAAAAGTAAAATTCAATATCCTATATGGGAAATGAAAAACTCAACTTATTTTGAAAACTATCAAAAATAATATGCATTGAAAATAAAATATGTAGCTTATTTATCAAAGGATCATGACATCGTAATATGAAAAAAGTACATTTCCTAAATTTTATTTTTGTAATTTAAAAATGGCGTATATGCTCAAATATCTTTAATATCTTATCGTTTAGTTTTATACTATTTAAACAGCTTCTCTCTCTGTGTGTGTGCTATAGAAAACCTGTTTTCAAGGAAGGATTTCATTCATTTCATTTCAGCATTGGTTTAAATCTTCTCTAAAATAGCATACCTTTCAAAAAGTGAATGTATTTATAGGATTTAATAGAATGAAACATTTTAAATTACGTTTCTGTAATACATACTTAAAATGAAAACAAATGTGTTTACTGTTTACTAACATTTTGATACTAAAAATAATAATGACAGTTAATTATGTTATTAAATTCTTAATTCAGTTTTTTAAATAATTAATTATAATGCGACAGTTCCAAAAACTACTAAATTTACATATAATTCGCGTTTATGCTTCATTATAAGTTTTATCAATCGCAATTCCATTCATAAGTCACTGAAATCTTTCATCTTCTTTCTCATAAATAAACTTTTGGGATCTTCTTAAAGAATTATATGAAGAAAATTTCTAATGCTTGTTTATATCTAACCATTTTTAGAAGTACTGCAGGCTTTTAACTAATCGAATTGTAACAAAAGAAATTTTAGGAATATCAAAGCCAACTAACAATATATTGCTGGAAAAAAAACTAAGCAGATAGTCTTTAAACACTTTGAAAATATTACCTCATCAATTCTAGTATGATAGGGCTCTTGCAATATGTTTTAATTCAATAAATAGTACGGGATTTGAATTAATTATGTATGTGTATTTTATCAAACGATTGGCTTTAAACACTTGAATCATTATAATTACAGGATTTAAATGAAATTTCCAAGTTAAAAGAAAGAAATTGTATTTATTCTTGCGTGTAAATTAAAAAAGCAGTTAAATTTATGTGGGTATATTAAAAATACACACCTATTTAAAAATAAAATAATTAAAATTCCTATATTAAACATTTCTAGTCCGTAATGATTTTATAATAAGTTTATTTTTTAATAGTTTGAAATTTAATATATGAGTTACGTACCGTTATGCATATTTTACATTACTTAATTATAGCTAAGATATACACGTTTCCACACTTCAAAGCTGTATTAATTTAACATATTAAATAGATAATTCATTATAAACACTGCTTAAAAGCTTGGAAAGGATATAGAAGTTTGATAATGTACTCTGCAACCTTGCTTATTAACATATCTTACTTTTGAAATAAAGTATGCATGTGTACCATGTATAACATGTATAACATTAGTCAAGTAAATTCTACTTATGCACAACGCTTATCCTATATTTTCATTTTAAATTCAGCAACATAAATATTAAAAACTTTATAAAACAAAAATATTCGAAAATAACACGTACACATTTTTAAAGTGTAAAATATAGTTAAAGAAAATAAAAGCTTGTAAAATATAATAAAACAATTTGTAATCTTCCTTAGGTTCTGGGATCATAATTAATCACTTTTGGGTATTTTTAAAATTTGAATTCATCTAATAAAATAATGTTTAAATAATAAGTTTTTAATATTTTAAGGTAATGTAACTTTTGATATACTGAGTATTAAGAACAAAGATTAATAAATGAGTATATATTGTATAATATATGGGCATTATAATATATTTAATTAATTAGAGCTCATTTTAAAAAGATCTTATCATTCCATGCAACAATTCCAACAACATAACAATGCTTATATCAAGTTTCAGTTTTAACCTAAATTCTAAATGCAAACTTACTTTTAAAATCTTGAAACCCTATCTAGAAACATAACCAGTACTCTTTCAATATTTAAAAATGTTTTTCTGCATTTCTGCACATTTCATGTGTTTGAAGCACAGCATCCTTTCAATTCGGTAAAAACTTCAGTGAAAAAACTTGGTTCACTGTTAATCCTCAACATCTTCCCACTGAGAAGGTTGATAATTAACAAGCACCTGTCCCAGAATTTTTCTTTGGAATCATCCACAAGGAATGGTTTCAAAGGATAAGAGATTTCATTCCCCATATAGGAATAACTGAGATATAAGCAGGTGAGAACAACAGACTGTAGTTCACGTTCAGAATCAATATCTTCGTTTACCAGTTCTCTGATTAAAAGATAAAGGAAAACGACATTGGCCGGGTTGATGAAAGCAATGTCCTGCCAACCTTGTAAGAGAAGACTACGATCCACTGATCTGAGCCAGAGAACTGCATCTGCTGGTTGTATTTCTCTGAGTTTCCAACACCTCTTGCAGAGAAACTCGCCTAGACATCGCAGCAGTTCTGAGGTCGAAGCCTGAATAACAGTCTTTCTGTGCTGCTGGCTCGGACTTATCACTGGATTGCTTTTGCCAGCAACGTTGAGAGAAGCACCATTGGGAAAATGGAGACCATGCTGATGCTGATGGTGAGAATTGTGGTTACCAGAAATGTGGTTCATTAGAGGTCTTACCAAATTGTGGGCTGCTAGCACCGAAGGTTTAGAGGGCGGTAAAGAAGGGGGCATCTTGTGTCGATCCCCCGCAGACGTATTCCTGACCACTACATCCAGAGATGTGACTGTGGAGGTTTTCAGATTATAACAGGATACCGACTTTTGAATGTTCTTCTTGTTGTCAACTACGTTGTTAAGGTTATCAAGTGGTTGTCGCGAAGTGTTTTTGTTTTTGTCAACCTTTCTTCTGCTGGACGTAGTGAACGTTTTCCAACTCAAGGCATTGATGAATAAAGAATGTTTTTTGAAGTTCGAATTATGGGTATGATTGAGATTCGCGACGACATTTCCGTTCTTCTCTTTATTTTTGGCATTACTAAGTTGCTCATAATTGAACCCATTGAGAGTGTACTCCCCATAGGCGGGTTTCCTATCCCGTGGGGATATGCTGAGCACAGTCCCCATCTTGAAAACTTTGTTCTTTTAAAGCAATCTACCAACAAATGAAGGAGAAGGAAATAATGATTCAGTCAACAGAAAACCGAAATCACTTACCATAAAAAGCCATTGACCTTCGAGGTCAAACTTTGGATTACAACAAACAAATATGTGCATCATCATTTTTGGTAATTTTTGCCAAAATTAGATTTCCTTTACATATATATATAAATATATGTGTAACCGCACATGGAAGAAACAACCTAAAAACCATTAAAGTAGCATCATCTGATTCTATCGGACCTCACACGAAACATGTCTGCTCGCTGCCTTTAGTCCAGCAGAGTCTGATCGAAGAAGATTTGCATGAGGCCGTTACCATGACAATTCTGGTGGTAGTGAATGGCAGCCGCAAGGGGGAGGAGCTATTGACGTCACGGTACCATCTGATTCGTTGAAGTTACCCGTACCTCAGGGCGAAAGCTGATGTTTAGAATCTCCGAACTTAAAAAAAGGGAAAAAAATTGTGAAACATGTTCCGGATTTTCCGGGAAAATTTATTCCTGTTTGCTCATTGTACTTTAGATTGTGCATGTAAACAATTTATAAATTAAAAAGAAGTAAACACTTCTGATAAAAATATTGATTATACTTTATCGGTCAGCACACATTTGAAAATAATTCACAATTATATTGGATTGTTGACCCTTTACTAAGTATAGAATCTAGAGTAATAAAACTAAACAGTGGTTTTAGTCGAATCGTTTTACACAGAATTTATTTCTGTTTACGTGCATAAGACTATTTGGATGCATCTTTGATTTAGATATACTTTATATAACATCATATTTTCGAAATTTGATCAGGTAGTATAAGTCACGAAAAGATAAAAAACATGAGAAATATTTGCATTTTTAAATCAGCAATTTTTAACTCATTATCAATTCGTTGTTGTTCTTTTATATTTTTTAAATATAAATTTCTCCTACATCTTTTAAATATAAAATAGCAATAAATGGTAATTCTTTTCCGTCTTATAAATTACACTCAGTAATTTCGGGAACACTGATTTTTTAAGAAAACGTTCGAGAGTAAAGCTTAGTCTAAATTTAACTATTTTTAATAATTAGCAAACTTATTCGTCAAACCATGGCCATAAGCCATTGCTTTCAAAGATATTATTAAAATGCATGAATTATAACCAAATAATGATGACTGGAAGATAAAATTTTGGTGCTTCAAACATCTAAAGAAATTTGTGAAATTAGTTGAAAATTCTTTTAGTTTTTGAATTCAATAATTAAAAATCGGCTTAAAATATCTGAAGAAAAATGCTATGATTACAATCATGATGATTACTTATGAATGCAAATTGTTTAGCACATTTTCTAACCCAGAAGAAGTATTTTGTTTTGTTATGACTTATCTCACTTATCTGACAGTTACATCAGAACAAAACCACGAAATTCATCGTCGCAAAGAGAGCAAGAGTGCACCTGTCGTTGGCTAGAGCTTTGAGCACCTTGCACAATGCGATTTCACTCATTCTGTCCCAAGTTTGATGGAAAGCACTCAGGGGAACTGGTCCAAGGATCTCCCACCCCTCTTTCCCTACCAAAAATTCTCTCCAGAGGACTTTCGGCTGGGCACGTATTTAGGGTACTCCCATGCCGCAAAGACACTACACATTTATAAACATCCATGCCTTCTCCGGAATTCGAACCCGGGCCTTTCTGTATCGCAATAGGCTCCCCTAACCACTATACCATCTCGGCGGCACATAGAAGTAGTTATTGCTCTGGGTTTCCTTCTTATAAATATAGTCTCTTATTTCATATGAATATTGCAAAAGTATTGGAAGATACTAATTCGAAAGCCAATTTAAGGCGCAGATAATAATTTAGTAATCTAAATCTTCATCTGCATCTGTCTATGAGCAGTTAATTGCAACAAAAAGAAAAATTTTAAATATCACCCTGTTTATAAAAGATGCTAAGAACTGATCTTTAAGTTACGGGTACAGCGTCAGATATTAAACAGAAGTTAAATAAAATTAATTAGATACGATTTTAAGGAAGAAAGATTGAAATTCAAATAATTAAAAAAAAAGTTCAAAAAGGAGGAACAGGAAATTTAATTATGTGGACTAATCAATTACCCTATGTCTAAATGACCAATTAAGTTGTCAAAGATGAGCAGTTTAAAATAGTATGATGAAAGAAAACTTCGCGTATATCTGGAAAGAAATTTGAAAAGATTTATTCTCAACGTATTTTAAAACAAATATAATCTCAAAATAAAAGAAAGAAAACCTTCCTTGGCTAATAATGGTTGTTCACCAAGAAAACACACTGTAGTCAAATTATTCAAAACTAAAATATGGTTTCTTCAGTATACGAGTAATCAGCAGAAAATTTAATCTTAATTAAATTAAAATGAGCTAAAAGTCACAAGATCTAGGAATAATCCTACTGCCTAAAAATTCATTTCGAGTCTTACAAATAAGAAATTACAAATCCAGTTTTAAGAAACTAATGTTTCAGATTAATTTTGATATTTAGAGGCGTGGTTTTTCATGGGAATTAGGGGATGAATTAAAACATTCTAAAAGAGATGATGATCCTTCTTGGGAAGCATACACACATCTTGATGAATACAAACAACGACTTATCGCCATGTCCAGTAAGAAGTTCCAGAGACGTAAGAAAGGTGAAAAAGATCCTTTCATCAGAACTCCAATAATGTAACGGAAGACACTTCTTCAGCTTACACACAAGCCAGCGGTTATAACGTAACTTAAAAGTAATGAATTCAAATTAAAACTAATAAATTATATCTTAAGTTACCTAAAGGTTATACAGAAATTAATAACGGGAAAGTTGGCTCAAACTTATACCGGGGTGACAAGCACTATTGGCAAGAATGAAACAACGTAGCAGACAAACTACTATAGAAGAAATTCAGCTATCAATGTCAGCTACCAATGAGCAGGCAGAACACACTCTGATTAAAAAATTCTAAATTTCTTTTTAAATAATATCTGTTTCTACCACATTTGAGTACGCGTGAACTACAAATTAGTGTTTTGGCAGGAAAACGAAAAAAGGGAGAAAGACAGAAAAGCTAATTCGTTTGAGAGAGAGAGAGAGAGAGAGCTTCTGACAGCCTATGCTGACCGTTACTCTGTTATGCCTCTGTGCTGCTTCAACTGATTTATTAGGTTGATTATCTGCTTTAGTTTTGGTAGGCCACATTTGCTTCAAGAATACTTACAGACGAGCCAAAGCTTACTTAGGTGTGTGCCAATAGTATATACCATTTTAATTTCATTTGAATGTTTGTTTGACATTATTTGTAAGCTAAGTAGTTTAAAAGCGAATATTTAAACGTCCGCTAACACTACGGCTGTAGCCGGAATATCTTAGGCACAGGTAGCGACAGTATTTCTCTTGCAATGCAAAGCTACCAATAGTTTTAACCCTAAAACATTTAAATTCCCCGCTTAAGTACTCATCAAGTTATTTCCATTCAGGAGAGGAAATATAAAGAAGAAAGTAAAGGTTATAACTGGTTAATTAACACAAAACCTTACAAGGATAGAAGGAAATGAATTGAAACTACTAGCAGTGTCGTATTAAGCCTCTGTTGGGCTCCAGATAAAATTTAAATTGGAGCACCAATTATAAAAGTTGTTATTATCTCTTGCCATATATTTTTATTTATATGAACTTACTTGTGTTTCTAGTTGTATAATTAAATGTGAAAGTTTATGTGTTATAGAATTGCAAGCATGTATATTTAAATATTTATATATGATATAACTGTTTATGAAAAGCATTCTTTAAATTACTATATGTTAGAATTTACAATGGAGAAAGAATTTTTGCAAGAAACAATTAGTAAAATGCCGAATAATAATTTGCCGTATTTTGCAGATTATGTAGGTATTATTTCCCCTTTTAAAAGTAAACACAGGAATACGTTTGTTAAAGATTTTTTGATAGGATATGAGAGATTGCTTCATATACTGTGTGAAATGATCAAAAGATTCTGTTTACAGCTAAAAAAAATATCAGGCCATGTGGCGAAATTTATTAAATTGCAATAACAGTTGAAAGATTTAAATCTTAAGGATTTCAGACAGATTTGACATTCCAACAACTGAAACGAATTTACTGCTTCAATTCACGACGGAAGTACCAAGATCAGCAGAATTTGCATGCTCCTTTTTACTAGATTACTAGGATTATTCACAAGTATTTCCCGATTGATAATAATACTCTAGAAAGACTTCCAAAACACCAGTGTTTGGCTGGACTACAGCCGGACATTATTCACTTCATAATGACGCTAAACCCAAACTTCCATTCAGAGCATATGGCAATTCAAGAGGAGCATTGCTCTGTACTAGAATAGTAATTAGCGCCATTTAATATAGCTGGAACTATATTGAGGCCAAATAATGAAATTACGACTGATTACTAGACCTTTTTGTCAAAAATATACTTATAGATGGCGATAAAAGATCTCGGAAATATCACGGGAATTTAAAGGACTGAATAATTTGATGATTTTACAAAAGCAGTATTCGTCAGCTCAATCATTAAATTCTAAGCATTTTCTCACTCAACCAAAGTCCTAGAAACAAAAATGTGTTCAACAGAATTCTCGGACTTCATGAAACATTTGCTACCTACCACGCAGGCTAGCCATATAAGTCAGAATTGCTGTTATAATAGCAAAGAGGATATCCTGCAATAGTCGAACAAATTCAATGTGCAAATATCATTTAAATTAAAGAATGGGCAGAAAATGTAGGACGCTCAACCATGTTTGAATTCCCCCTCTTCTACAGAACTACGTTCACATTGAATCCGTCTTTATCGGGAAATTTTAGGTTACCCATTGTAGTTATAGAAGTAGGCCATCTTTTTCTTATAACTCTACGTGATACTCATGCTTCTAAAAGCATCATTCAAAAGATAATGAGGTTGTAACATTAAAAGAGATGTCTACACATGAGTTAA